ACAGAGGAACAGAGCATGAGGATGTAAAGGTTGTAACATAACATGAGGATGTTAAGGTTCTAACAGAGGAACAGAACATGAGGATGTAAAGGTTCGAATAGAACATGAGGATGTAAAGGTTCTACTCCCTGTTCCTCATCATGTCAGACGTGTACTCACACACACGGCTGAAGCTCAGGAGCAGAACCAGCGTCGGAACGTCCATGTTTCAGAGTTTTTCACATGAAATGAAGCTTTGCAGGGAAACTGGTCTGAAACAGGAAACGGTCCGAGAGCTGCTTCCTTCTATTGTTTCACTGTGAAGGAAATACCACAGTCCATCCCTGAAGAGGAGGAGACATTAACATGTTGATCACATGTTCATTACACACACACTTTATCATTTTTATCAGGCTATGAAACATCCCTCCATCTTGAGTGGTTCCCTGGCCTGATGGGCTATGAAGTTCTAGGTAAAGCCCTGAACCTCTGTAGATGTGGAGCAGTGGTTCCACTCTGACCTCCTGAGACCCGGCACCTGAGGGGGGTTGATGCAGATTCAGTGATGATGTTTTAGTGGAGCATTGTGGTGAAGGAGCAAAGACCTAGATTTAGTGGTGGACCTATATTCAGAGCCTCACCATTCAAGTACAGAGGAAATCTGACCTCCACTTTGTTTACAGAACCCTGGAGAACATTATCTCTAATCAGCTGTGAGAGTTTCAGCATCAAGCTCCTCTCCTGTGGAATCATCTCAGGTTCAGTTCTGGAGGCAGACTCCCTCTCTACGTTTAAGTTTCAAACTTCCTCCATGATGAAGGTTTAGTTAGAGCTGGTCCAGGTTTGTCTTAGACCTGCTCTAGTTCTGCTGCTGGAGGTCTAGAGGGTGGAGGACACAGGACACAGGAAGCTTCTCTTTCCTCTTCATCACATTAATTTCTCATTCTATTTGTAAAGTGTCAATAATCATATATATTATGTCAAGGCTGTTTACATAGGAGGTCGATCTTTATTTATTATCATTATTATTATATGAATCTTGACTGCTATCATTAATAACGTATTCTATAATTATCACTCGTTTTTAAACAACTAGTCAGAGCTGAAGCCTGAGGCTGCCCCCCCGATCATTCGAGGCAGATGATGACTCCACTTTGACTCTGGTTCTTTCTTCTAGTTAAGAGTTTTCTCTCTCTGTCAGAGATGCTCATTGATGAACTGTTTTGAACATTTTCAGGTCTTGACCTTCCGTTCTAAAGAGCCTTGAGATCATGTTTATTAGGATTTGATGTTATACAAATAAAATTGAATTGAAACTTAGAGAAACCAATTGTTCCCACAATGAGCAGCTCTGAGAGAAAAGAGCCAGACTCAATGTGGACGAGTTCCGTGCCCACCTCATCCACTTCTTCAGTGTTTATCGATACAGATCCAGGCTGTCAGCTGATGGTAGATCTGATCACATGACTTAGAGAATCTACGACTGAGCTTTTCTTCTGTATAAATAGTTGAAACATTAACACACATCTCCATTAATGTGACACATTTTCCTTTCTCTTCGTCCTGGGACGGATCCTCACAGACTATATAAATTAAAAAGAGAAAAAACACATTTCATTTATTCAGCCTCTTGTTTCCTGGTTAAAGTTTCTTCTGAACATTGGAGATAAACTCTGGTTGTTAAGAACTGATCTCAGTTCAGCTTCACTCTTCACCTGGAGCTGATGGAGACTCTCAGTCACTTGTTCTCTCAGGAGATGAACCCACTCAGCAGAGTGACAGAGAACAGACGCTCAGGGAGCGAAGGGGGAAACGTTCTCCATGTTCACACTCACACATCAGATCAAAAACCACTCAGACTCGTTTTGTTTAGAAAATAATTTAATAACATTTGAATCCAACAGAAACACCAGCAGGAGGCGCTCTCCTCCTCGATTCTCTTTAATGATTTTATGGCAGAAACAAACCAAAAGGACAAATTTCACATCGGATCACGTTGGTGAGTCACTTTTGTGTTTAAAGGTCGAAGCTGCCGCCGCTCAGCGTGGATCAGTCTCAGTCACTCACAGAAAATACTATACAGGCAGCAGCTGGATCAATAACCAATAATTACTTTGATCAGTTTAACAAAATAAAAGTCTTCTTTTTCCTCTGGGACACAAAAAAGACAACGTGCAGCAGTGGGGGGGTGGTGGTGGTGGTGGTGGTGGTGTTGGTGGGGGTGGGGTCAAACACAGCCCCCCGCCCCCCCCCAGATGAGTTAAAATAAAAGGAGGGGAAATGAATCCAAATGAAAAGAGAGAAACAGAAGAAGGGAGGACATGAAGAGAGACACCGTCCCTCTGCTAGATACTTACGTTCAGACATTATCTCGTCTCACGCCATGAGCACGGCAGACGTCCAGCAGGGGGCCGCCAAGTCTGTCTTACCTCGTCTGTCTCACTCAATCCTCTGCAGCCAATCAGCTGCTTTCTTTTTACTGTTGACGAAGAGAGTTCGTCACAGCTGATGACATCACTGATCTCCTCCCTGCGCTTGACCCACAACTAAACTCACGCCCACTTGACCACAGCGGTCGATGAGTCTCTTTAACCTAGAAGAGGTGGCGCCCTGAGCCGCCTCAAACAGCAGGCGCTGCAGGGAGGAGAGGAGGAGTCAGCAGGTGAACACACGTGTTCATATGTTTTTAACATGTTTGATATCAAACACCGATCATGTGACGCACACTGATGATGTCATAATTACTGTGACCACAAACATGGCATCATGACATCACGTGATCAGCACCAGACACTGAGTGCAAACAGGAGCATAGACTGTGTGTTTAGATGTGTGTGATTACATGTGTGTTGATGTGAGTTTACATGTGATGAGTGTTAAAGAGGAAGTGAAGGTGTGAATTACATGTTTCCACAGGGCGGCACAGAGAGGAAGGTTCTGAAGAGCCTGATGATAGAGGAGTCGCACCTATAAAATACAATAAAATTTACATTAAATAAGGATTTCAATAAATAAAATGCAACAATTTTATACAAAAGAACATTCCATAAAAACATTAAAAGAAAATTCAAATATATAAAATCCAAAATAAAACCAAATAGCAATAAATGATCAAAGTCAGAGGTTTAGTCGTGACGTCCTCACAAACACACAAACATTATCTAAAGCGTTACATGTTACAGTGGACGGAGAGAAACATCCTGCAGGGGAACAGATAAGATTCATCATCATCAGTAACTTTACACACGTTTCAATCGTTTTACAGGAAACTGGTGTAACTCTGTTAACGTTCCTCGTCACTCACTCACCTCACATGACTCCTGGAGCTCCGTTTCCACGGCGATCGCTCTATACACAGACATCAACACATTTCAGTTGACTGTAAATTACTTTTATCGAAATGACACACAGACACACAGACACACACACASACACACACAGACACACACACAGACACACACACACACACTTACATTTTCCAGTGCGTTAAACTCTTTGAAAAGTTACTCGTCAACATCCGAGTCTGAAACTTCACATGTTCAATGTTTCCATCCTGCCACTCGACAAACAGCAACCTGAGAAAACAACAGAGCAGACACACAACTGACACACAACTGACACACATCACACCTCAGAGTGTGTGTGTGTGTGTGTGTGTGTGTGTGTACCTCAGGCTCAGTTCAGTGTTGTTGGGCATGGCGTATCTCAGTCTCTCCAGTACAGGTGCATACTGGGACTGTGGCAGACGGTTCAGGTAAAGAGTCACCACCTGTCAGACATGAACGGGGGCAGATCCTCATGAGCAAGGCACTGGTCCTGTATGTGAGTACTGAGGGTCCCTCAGGGTTACATCCATCCAACAAGATTTTAACCATCAAACACTTTATTTTGAAAAATATTTAGTTGTTTCTCTTTAAAGGTTCAGTGTGTAGAATGTAGGGACATCTAGTGGTTAAGTGTCATGTTGCATATATATTTATATACCATAAATTACCAAATAATAGCCGGGTTTCAATCAAGCGGACCCTGCGGTTCCCTTTAAACGCCGGATGCACGTGTATATTTTGATAAATAACAGCTGGTTCCAAATAAATGCCGGGTATAATTTATTTTTAAAAAATCAGAGAACTTAAAATTCAAACTTTCTGTCATGAAATATGCGGAGGAAAACTCGGGAGAAGCAGCCGCTACACGTTTCTCTGTCGACCCCAAGACAGTGAGAGATTAAAAAAAAATCAAACTGAGCTTCAGCGTCTGTCCGAGGAGGACAGCAAAAGAGCCAGGCTGCCTGGTGGAGGGAGGAAGAAGGCTAGCGAGGACTGAGGAGCTTGAGATAAACATGCAGGAATGGGTTATCAGCAAACGGGCACGCCACGAGAGTGTCCCGCAAAATGATCAGGGCGATGGCGAAACAAATGTGCGCCACCGTGAGCCACAGCAGAGATGAGGAGTTTGCCGCGAGTGCCTGTTGACTAAACCGTTTCCTCCACCGCAACAACTTCACTTGCAGCTACAACTGTTGCCCAGAAGGATTTTGTGAGGAAGAACTGAAACGCCTGTCCCAAATAAACGCCTGGTCTGTGAGGTGACTATTACTTGGTAATTTACGGTATATATA